AATAGGAAACCCAGATACCTGTACGTATATCTTTTATACTTGGACCATAGAATACTGTGGAGATTACCCTGGCACTATTACAGTGCTCTCATTAACAAGTTGCTGGCCTATTTAAAAGTCATGTCAACATGTAAGTAAATTTTCACTTAAGCCTTTAAAAATCTGCTTACATTATAGAAATCAAATGCAACAGAAAAACAGACAATATAAACATGATCCAATGGTCCAAGTATAAAAGATATACGTACAGGTATCTGGGTTTCCTATTTGACGAGATATCTGTAAGCTGAAGGGAAAGAGAGAAGACATTAGTTCACTTGAAGGCTGGGCGGGCTGTGCCTACATGCGTGTGTGTGTGTGTGTGTGTGTGTGTGTGTGTGTGTGACATTTGTCTGGGGGTTGCAGTTACCCCAGCAGGTACGTACAACAGCTGGAGGAAGCCACAGTGCCCTTGCCTCCTCCACACGCTCCGCTTTATTCCCTTGAGGCAGAGTCTTTCACTGAACCTGGAGCGTGTCGATTTCAGCTAGGCTGGCAGCTTAACAAGCCCCAAGGATCCATGTTTCCCATGCTTTTTATGTGGTGCTGGTATCTAAACTCAGGTCTTCAGACCTGCAGTCAGGACTTTCCCCACTGAGCCATTTTCCCAGTTCCCAGATGTGTTTCTAAACATTTATCTTGTATATTAAAGACACTAAATTCTTATTCTTAGCTGTGGCATTTCTAAGCCACATTACAGTTGTGCCTTGATAAAGAAATAGCCTGACTCTTAACATCCATTTTAAGTCTAAGAGCAAACCAGAAGTGTTAAGCGTCTGTTCTTTCGGGTGTTTTTGGAACTATGCTCCAGAGCAAGGGCTCAACCCACTGTTTTAATTGAAATAGTAATATCCAGCATGAAGTGGGGAAGTAAAAGTCAGGACCTTTATCTTATGGGAGAATTTTGCACTATAATCCCCAGACCTAGAATATCACACACACAACTACAAACAGACATTTCTCCATTTCTCTCATTGTCTGCAATGAGTAAAAGCAAACTGCTTTGACATGTAAAGCATGCACACATATGTTCTTGGGTGGAGGGCAAGGAAGGGGTCTTAAGGGATTAAGGTCAGGGGCCCAAGTCACAAGAAGAGTACATGAATCAGTGAGCTTGTTTACATTATACACAGTACAATTTTGGTTGCAAGGTTGGTAGAAATCTTTAGTCCAGATTATGTCCATGTTGTAAAAGTCATCCCACCACTTAGTGGTATTACTAGGGGAGCTATCCATGACATCAGAGAATAAGAATGTCTTGGCTTTGCTTGCCCAGAGAGCCTGTGTGGACACCTATTCTTAGTTTTCCAAGAGGTCTGTACCAGATCTCAAGACTTTCAAGAAGTTAAAAACAACAGTAACGTGTCTTTAAAAACTGAACTATTTCTCAAATGATCTGGCTACATTTGCAGCTGGTTTCCTATAGCTGTCTGGTCACAAAGTATCAGCTACAAGGAAATGGGCATGAAACATTGATTGTCTAAACAATGTCATTTCTGAAATGGGAACATTTCTGGGAATTGGTAGGGAAGACCAGCCCTACAAATGTCCTGAGAGGACCCACCACTGAGAGGATACCCACTCCTAACAGCCCAGGCAATGAAATGTCTGCCTGCAGGTTTGCGGCTGGGCTCAGAGTACCTTCACTGGCAGTACAAATGGTAACTATCACATTGTGATCCAGATGTCACCATCCAGTTTACAAGGAAGCCCCGTGTTTTTGCCAGCCCTCAGTTCCTGACCTCACTCAAGAGCTCTCACTCAGACAAACTCAAACCACATCTGCAAGCAGGTCCAAAGAAGAGAACAACAAAGGGAATGTGAAGAAAAGGCCAGCTGGTATTTGGACCAGGGTGGTCATGAGGAAGTATCAGTGAGGGATGGGTCCCAGAAACCCCCAAGGACCCCAAAATCCACAGATGTTCAAGTCCTTCACATAACATGGTCCGGTATTTGTAAATGGACTGTGCGTATCTTCCTGTATGATCTGTAACATGTGTTCAACTTTTTGCCATTGCAACATGCAGCTGTCATCTACAAAGTTCATATTCAAGAACTTCACAATCAAGTTATAAGAAAAAAATCACAAAAAGTCTCAGGGTATCTTAAGCTATTGTTTGCGTATGTTTGTGATTTTGTTGGGTGACTCTCACGGTGCTCTTTAGCCATGTGCTGCCATGAGCTGGACCCACCCGCAACTCTATATCATCTCTAGATTACTATAAGTATCTAATAAGATCCAAATGTTACATGAATAGCTGTTACAGCGATATTTGAAAGGTGGGCTATGGTGGTATACACCTTCAATCCCAGCACTTGGGAGGCAGAGGCAGGCAGATCTCTGTGAGCCTGAAGCCAGCCTGGTCTATATGGTGAGTTCCAGCCCAGTCAGGGCTACAGCTTGCCTAATATGCATAAACCTGTGGGTTCCCCAGCACTGGGAAGAAGGAAGAGGAGGAGGGGGGGGAGGAGGAGGAGGAGGAAGAGGAGGAGGAGGAGGGAGGAGGAGGAGGAGGAGGAAGAAGAAGAAGAAAGTGTAATTATATGTAGTTCAGACTTGCCTTTTTTCAAAATATGTTCAAATTGTACTTGGTTGAACTTGTGGGAATGTTACCTACAGATACGAACTCCTAAATTACACACATGCTGTTTGAGGCTGCTGTAGGTCTGGGCAACTGGCCACCTAGATCTGCTCAGTTTTGTGTAAACAGCAGCACTGCATAACCACTTGCTCAGACCCTGGCCTCAAGTTCATACCTGATTGCCTGTTTCCCTTACCTGCTCAATGCAATCCTGCAACAGGGACAGCTTGGTCCCCTCAGCTCCTCTCCAGAGCGCATCCTCCAGCCTCTCCTCTCTCTTCTTCCATCTCTTCCCTCTTACCTCCTATCATAATAGGCCTCTGCCCACCTCTCATTCTGGTGCCCCCCCCCCAAGTTCTGGAAACCTTCCCATAGCTTCTTTGTGCTGGGAATAGATCTAAACTCCTCCTGTGACATGTAACTCTCCAACTTTACTTGCTGCCACTTAACCATGCGAAGCTGTTCCCTCCTCAGCACCTGTACCACCTTGTCCTTGCCTAGAACATTCTGCTTCCAGCTTCCCACAGAGCTGCATCTTGTCCTGCTCATGACGCAGGTGACAGTGCAACCGCAGGGCTTCTTCTGTCTGTCATCTGGAAGCCCGTCCCGACTCTGAACATCTCAAACCTAGACCATCTTCGCTCCCGTAGGCATCACCACACAGGTTCACTGCTCAATACTTTACCTGCTATCCCTTCCCATGGAGATGGGGCCCTGCTTCGTCCTGCCCACAGCAGTCTCCTCAGCACCTAGTAAGCCCTGTGCCCTCAATAAATATGTGTTTAATGAACTAGTACAAGCCCTAAATGAGCCCCAATCTGCAGGAAATAAATGCAGTACTTAAAGCAGGATTCCCCAAGCTGCTCCACGACCCTCCATCTGAGCTGTTCTGTGAGTGATTTTGGCCGACAAGATATGAGATCACTTTGTGTCTAATTCAACAGCATTTTTCAGAGCATAAAGATAAAATATCTAAGTAAACATGTATTTTTAGAAATCAGCCAGGTGAAAAAGTACATAAATGCTCAGGGGAATCTGGGGAGATGCAGAACGCCACAACATTGTTTTGGAGGGGGCACTAAAGGTTAGGGGAAGGAAGAGTGTTTTCCGCAGCGCGGAAGAACGTGATGCCAGAAGCCCCCCCCCCCTTCCAGAAGCAGCAGCCTGCTTCTGCAGCACACTCCGGAGTGGGTCTACGGGAACTAGAGAAAGGAAGAAAGGAGAAGTGACGACGGCGGAAGGGAAACCGGATCACACCGGTCTGTGGTACAGCCCACAGTGGGAGAGGAGAGACGGAAGTGAGGGCAGGGTGGCCACAGTGTCTCTGACTTCTCTGGAGGAGGGAGATGGAAGTATGCCAGTAGGGCGTGCCAGCAGGAGACAGGACAGGACGTCTGCTCATCCTGTGTGTCACCATGGCAAGAAGCTGATCTGGGTGACTCTAGAAGCCTGGGTGTCTGCGTGCTGTACAATGCCACCAAGTTGGACCAAATATCTGATTCAAAGCTTTCCTTGTTAAAAGCATCCAAGTTACTCTGTACCTCTGTAGCCACAGACGGCACAAGAGACCAGACCAGTTCTCTGATTGTGTGAAACACACAGCCTCTCATTTTATAGGTGGATATATATGATTACAGGGAAATAAACTAAGCTTTACAAAGGACAGACTGCCCATAGGGTCTGCAGACTGCCTGGCTCATCCAAGCAAGGGCTGAAGAAGATGTCAAAAAAGGAAGATAAACTACTAATACATCTGTCTAATCAGATGTGTTGAAATCATACGCCTTATCCTGGGTCTTTCCAAGGCCACTGCTCCCCCACAGCATCCAGACAGCCCTCTCACTGCACCCCATCCTGCCCCAGTCAACTGGGCTGCATTTCATTTGGATTAACCAACTCTTCCTGAGATAGAACCAGCTGGCTAAAGGCAGATCATGTCATGGTTGAGCCATAAAAGAGACAGACATAAATACTTACTAATTTCCTACTACGTTTGAATGAATTAGTATGTATGTAGTGTGGATATATGTATGTGTGTATATTATGTGAATATACATGTGTTTGTGTGCATATATGTATGTAGGTATACATATGCTCTGTGAGAATACCTATAAATTTGCATCTGTATTTCTGATTAGAAGAGCTGAGATGAGATTCAGCTTTTGGTTACATGATGAAGGGGATCCAAAAGGCTCAATCTTCAAGCCAGAAAAACAAGCTGAGTGCAAAAGTGAATTAAAATGGGGAGAACTCACAGTTCCTCTCCTTCCCTTCCAGTCTCTCTCTCCCTCCCTCTCTCTTTCCCTTTCTCTCTCTCTCTCTTCCTCTCTGTCTCTGAAAAAAATATGAGTGCAAAAGAAAATTAAAAAGGGGCTAACACTCACATTCTCTCTTTCCCTCTCTCTCTCTCTCTCCCTCTCTCTCTCTCTCTCTCTCTCTCTCTCTCTCTCTCTCTCTCTCTCTCTCTCTCTCTCTCTCTCTCTCTCTCGCTGTATAGCTCCTGGAACTCACTATGTAAATGAGGCTGGCTTTGAACTCACAGAGATGTGCCTGCCTCTGCTTGCCCAAGTCCAACGCCACACCCAGCCGCTTTCCCTTTTTAAGATGCCCTGTGACTGTTAGGATCACACACTGCTTTGTTTCAGGTGAACTCTCTTATATACTGAAAGTGTTGATGCTGTATTTCAACTTTAGAAATCCTCACTGTCAAAATCCAGTGATGCTGCTAATTGAAGAGGCCATTGGGCTTCGAGAGCATTGGCTCCAAGTACTTCATTTTCCAGAAGAGTTATAGGTCCAGGAAGACAGTCTTGGCACAGTAAGAAGCAAGGCAAGAATGTTCTGGAAGCCAAGCCTTTTCATTTCATATCTGGACTCCATGACATTGGGTCACCACCCTCCCTTGAGAGAGGGAGGAGGGCTCAGCGCATCCCTTCAGCTGCCGCTAATGAAGGTAGGACACTGTCATAGCCAGGATGGCACAGCCTGGAGATCTACAAAGAAGCCACACAGACAGAGCTGTTCTGAGCACAGTGCTGAGAGCCTGGGCGCAGATTCACGTCCTTCTGGTCTACTAGACAGCCTTTGCTTCCTTAGACTATTATTGATTTGGAAAGTTCTACAGCTTTTATCTCTCTGCTCCTCTAAGCATCATGAATGAGTTCTTCTCTCCCTCCGTCCCTCCGTCCCTCCCTCCCTCCCTCCCACTCTTCCTCTCTCTCTTTTCCTTCCTGTGCACACACATACACACTCTCTTTCTCTCCCTCCCTCTTGCTCTCTTTCTTTCATTCGATCCACTTCATCTAATTCATCCCACCCTTCCTTCTGAATAGCTTTATTAAATAATCACGTTTCTTTTTAATCTCAACTTTTAGAACCTCACGCTAAACTTTTTTTTCATCAACCAACTGTGCTAATATATTGATTAATGCAAACATTTCCTATATTTCCTTTTTATTGCATACTCTCTCAGGGGGGGGTAAAAGAATCATAAAGAGATACGTACAAAGAAGGCTGGATAAACAGGAACAGCGATACCACGTTGAGGTACCAAAACTCCTGGTTGTTTTAGTGCCTTATAGCACAGTAAGAGAACAACGTAGCGGGCAGATTTGACCATTTGCTCACCTTGCTTAATGGGTGATCAGACCTCCTGTCACCCTCCAGAGACCAGGAAGTCTTGATCAAGATACTTAATAGGAATCTGGATCTCCACCCACTTGGAGGGGCCTCATCTGGGCTCTGGAGTGATGGCATGCAGAGATCTGTCCCAAACCTATTGCCTGTCATGGTTTCTTTTTTGAACATCCACTTAAAGAATGTTCAAGCCGTGAGCACTGTTGAACACATTTTTCTCCTATTATGGAAAACTGATGTAGCTGTAACTGGATCTTGCCTTACTGAAAAGAGCAAAGCTTTCAACAGATGATCTTGAAGAGAGTCAACAGGGTAATTTCTAGTCTACCTGAAAGCTAAAACTGGATCCCAGATATTTCAAACTCTGTTATTTTACAAATATAAAAATATGTCCAACAATTCAGCTTGGGTGGGAGAGGGTGCAGAAGAGCTGGTGTGCTCAGCCAGGACGTGGCTTCCTCCCTGGGGCCTGGTACCATGACCCATGGAAGGCAAAGCCCAGTGGGGGACTTCGAATGATGCCTAGGGAGACCTCTCTTCCACCCTCAACCCATTCACATCACACATGGGGATCTCACAGTCAGTGGCTGGACAGAAGGGGCTCACCATGTACTCGCTGACATCACGGCTGAAGCCAGAGGCCTGCTGGCTTTGATAATACTCCAACTGCTTTTCTGCCAACTCTACCCGTTGCAGTAGATTCTCAATAAAGTCCTGGAGCCTTGCTTTCCCTTGAACCTCCTTCTCAGCAGCTGCTTCCAGGAAATGGTTGAACGTAACAACTTCTCTGCAGGGAGAAAATATGAAAGCAAAAATAATCCTGGAATTAATTCTGTCAACACATACCAAAAGATGCCTACTATGCATCGGTTTTGGGCCCAGGAAGTACAGTCAGAGAAATGAGATTATGTTTTGATGATTATATATGATTACACGTTGACAGAGAGAGTCACCATAAATAGTAAGAAATGAACACATATGTCAAGAGTTGATAAGTTAACAACACTGAAATTGGGTACAAGAGACAAAGTGACAAAGGAGGACATGGGTGACTGGTATTCAGAGAGCAAAGCCAAGATCAGTCTTTCTGAGGGAGACACCTGAAGGAAATCCTGAGAAATAGGCCATGTAGATATCTGGAAGAGTAAACAGATACTCCAGTGGCATGTAGATGGGTCTGAGCTGCTGCCTGGGTGACTACCCAGAGGAGGAGGCAGAGAGCCTCATAGGTCACTGTAAGCATCCCAAACTTCCTAACAAATTTGATGAGTGAGCCCTGGGTGCCACTGATGCCAGTTTTGACTTAGATTTTCAGTCTGTTGAGGGAGAAAGTTTGCACAGAGGGAAATATGGACACCATACCCTTGTCCAAAATGTTTTCCTAAGCTAAGAACCAAACATCCCAAGCAGGAACCTTGAGGCCAACCCAAGGACAGTTGGGAACACCATCCTAACAAGGACAGATAGAGGGGAGCAGCAAGCAGGTTGCAGTCTCCGAAGTAGCTGGGCAAAATATTTCAATCAGTGCTTCTCCATTTACATAATTCAGTATAAATTCCCAAGTGCATAACGTTTCTAGTAAGTTCGTTATCATTTTGTACTTTGCAACTGTTTCCAGTGGAAGTATGAAAATTATGCTTTTCTGATTTATAAAATAGATAAGCTCTTTATAAAGAGTTAATACAGCACATTAACAATACAGGGAGGTGCAGGTGGAGCCTCATTTTGATGAGTATCTCTTTATAAACGTGGGCACACCTATATGCACCCCCACCCCCATACACAGAGTTCTCCTCCTTACCTTCCTCTCCCCTCCCAACTCCCCTTCCCCACACCCTTCCTTGATAGCTATCAGCACAACCAAAAGATACAAATTATCGTTGCTATGGTGAATTCCGCATCACCTTGTCGCTTTTACTTACCAAGAAATCTTGAGTGTTTTTCCAATTGCCTCTTTTTGCTGTTCCCACCCCTCTTAGGGGAAGGAACTCTGTCGTCTCACCACCTTTTGGCTACAGCATCTCCTTATTGTTACTTCCAAACTCTCGTACCTTCAAAGGAGTGACCTCTCATTTCTCTGGTCACGTTCAACTTAGAGTCAAGAGGAGTCTTCGATCACTATCCATCCACCTCTTTCAGTATAAATGAATGACCTCTGATTGTGTGTGTGTGTGTGTGTGTGTGTGTCTAACCTCATTCAGTTGTTCCAAAAAGCAAATTAAATTGATTGCCTACTGTTCCTTCTCAACTTCTGCTTGACACTTATTTCTCTCTGGGCACCCTCCCGACCCACCTGAAAATTTTTAGAAATTAAAAAAAGAAAAAGTGGCCACACATACACTGTGTATAAAACAACTCACATATATCTGCCAAACCTTGGAAATAATAAATTTATAGAAACAGAGAACAGACGAAGTTGAATCATGATTCACTCAAAAACACACTCTTGATAAGGGCTCCCTTATTCCACTCCCTGTCCAAAATCAAACATGAACTCGAATCCCATAATAGCGCCATTATTTTTAGTAGCTAAGAAAGATCCACACAAGGAAAAGAACAGTCCTTTTGGAAAAGTGTTCTCTTTCATCGTCAAGTTTCAGGTTCATTTCCAGAAGTTTCCCTGAGCCCTCAGCCGCCGGTGTGTACTTTCCACAGGCCTGGTTGTTCAGGACAGTGAGGGGAGCCAATTTTCAAACTCCATTGTCAGTCTGCAGGCTCTCCTGCTAGGAACCTTCCCAGACATACTCACCAGTGTGGAGGAGGTGGTGGGCCGTGTTCTCCCACAGAGCCTTCACCCCGCCACCACACAAGCCACAGGGGACCAGTTGTGTGACTTTCCCATCGCATCATAAGATCACTGCATTTGGGAACAAGTCTCTCTGTGACAAACAACCCGACAAGCATCTTAAGGAAGAGTTTGTTTGAACTCACAGTTCCAGAGGACAGTGCATGTTGGTGGGGTCGTCATTGTGAGGGGGCTTGAGGCAGCTGGTCACATGGCCTCCAGTCAGGAAGCAGAGAGATGAATACTCACTTTCTCCTTTTTATTCAGTCCTAGGCCCCAGCCCATGGGGTTGTGCTCCCATGTTAAGAATGGTTTTCTCACCTCAACTAACCTATCTGGATAATTCCTCACTGGCAAGCCCGGAGATTTGTTTCCATGGTGATTCTAAATCCTATCAAGTTGTCTATCAAGGTTAACCAGCACAAGGACTTTGACTGCTGTTCAGGATTCCAGCAAATAAAGGAGACCCAATGTGAATGCGGTGAATGTGTGGATGCATAACCAGATCTCGAGCTGGATGTCCTAATTAACTAAAAGATCATCTGGTTCCTGGTTTCCTTTTCTAGAACAGTCTTGGGTCCTGACCCCATGAATAAACCACAGGCACCTCCTACTGGAGTCAGAGTGTCATGAAAAATGGATGCCTCTTTTTTACTCTCAAAAAAGACCTTCACACTGACTTCCCTTCCCAAAGGAAAGCTCTAGTGAGTTATTTAAATTTCATTTTACATTACTGATTTATGAACCTCTTCAGAGGTATATGAAATGATAAAAATACCTCCAGCTAAAAATAGTCTAACTATTGATCACACAGCATCTCAGATAGTCTGTAATGTCAGCTATGAGGCAAATCTAGAAGCAAGAGTCAGCCCCCTCCGGGCACAAAGAGCCTAGCTAGAAACTTAGATGCCAGAGTGTGGTCCTGTGCTCCCCGGGGGGCACACATGCCTGACTCTGTACCTGCCTCATCCTTGTCTCTGCTTCTGGGGGGCTCTTTTTACCTCACTTTCCTTTGTGTTTTTTTGAATGAGCCAACATGTTCCTCATTAAGATTGGGGGTGGGTTGGGAGAGGGTGGTACCTCAGTGGGCAAAGTGCCTGCCACAACCTTGAGAACCTGACTTTGGACCTGTAGAACCCACATAAAAACTGGGTCCAGTGATGCATCTCTGACCCCACTGCGGGGCCGAGGCATGGAGATACAAATCTAGACAGCTGTGTCTCGGGACTGCTGAGTGCCAGGCTCAATGGGAGATCCTGTCTCAAAAAAATGAGGTAGGGAGAGCTGGAGGAAGACTTCTGATATCTACCTCTGGCCTCCATGTGTGCACACATATACATACATGTGCACACAGCCACTCAAAAACATATATACGTCACACAGATTTTTTTTCTAAAAAACCCAAACCTCTAGTGAGAAAATCAAATTATTCTTATCGGTTATAAACAAATTAACACTCCATTCTAAGTTCCTCGGGTAAGGTGGGGAAAGAGGGGTGTGATGGGGAGAAAGGGAGGCCAGGAAAAGGCCCTGGATTTCCCACTTTTGCCACATGCTATCCATAAGAAAACATGCTTGACATCTGGTTTAGTCTCTATTAGTTCCTAAGTCTGCAGGGGACAGACTCATTTATAGAAATGAACTAAGGGCTGGAGGCTCTTCTGCTGCTAAGAGCACTTGTTGCTCTTGCAGAAGACCAAGTTCATTTCCAGCACCCACATGGCAGCTCACAACCATCTATAGCTCACTCCAGTTCCAGAGGATCTGCCGCCCTCTTCTGGCCTCTAGGGACACTGCATGTACATACATTCAGGTAAAACTCATATACAAAGAATAAATAAATCTTAGAATTAAAGTAAAGGCGGGAGCCCCTCTCCCCCTGTGGTTGCTGCTTTTCACGCATGTCTTTTGCTCACTTCCTCGCTGGGTAACAGCAGGGACATGGTGCTATCTATTCACTACCTTAGCAGACCCCAAAACAGGAATGGCTTCAATGAACAGTCAAATTTGCCTGTGTGGGTGGGTATGTATGTTATATGCATATCTGTGTGTACAAGTGCACATACCTGTGTTTGCACAGAGGCCAAGCAGGATGTCAGCTGTCCTGCCTTGTTCCCTTCAGACAGGATCTCTCACTGAACCTGGAGTCAGGCTAGTGGCCAGTAAGCCCCAGGGATCCTCCTGTCTCCATCCCCCAAGAGTGCCAGAGCTACAGTCACACATGCAGCCACACTGAGCTCTTACATGAGTGCCAGGGCCCTCACGTTGTCTCACCTACTGAGCCTACTTCCTGCCGTAGCCTTGCCCTTTTGAAGTCAACATTCCACAGCCAGTTCTGTGCAATAACCAACACCGACACAGGCATCACTGGCTTGGTCTGTTCCTCTCATCACACCCTGAGTATCGGATGTCATTTTCCCTCTGGTCCGTAAGCACCCAGAAGGCAGGAATTTCACCTTGCTGACCACTGTATGATCAGACTACACAGCAGAACCTGACAGTCCGCGGGCTCTCAGGAAACATTGTCTCCTTCAGGCCTCTGGGCTGGAACATGGCAAACAACACAGGGAGGGGGAAAACAGATTCTATCTAGTGTATCACAAAGCACAGGATGGAAATTAGAGATGGAATCAGAGGCCCCTCACCTGCATCAAAGGCGGGCAGTGACACATGCCCTGCCCTGACTGGGCAAGGACATCCGGAGAGTCAAGCTGAAAGCTCCGGATGGAATTTAAAAGCTCTGGGCTGGGTATTCATGGCCTTGCTGATGATGCCACCAGATCCCTGTTCCTAACACCTCCGATGCCAGCTGACACTCTCTTTAATCACATTAGAAAAATAAATGATATCACCATAGCAGCCCTCTCAAAATAGCAAAGAAGCCAGCTATTCCAAAATGGGCCATGCTCAGGATTACGTAAGTCTTCATGCTTTGGGCAAACGCTGCACTTTCAGAAGTCTAGCAAGGTCACTGCGAACCTCGGCAGGGAGGCGGGAAAACT